CTGAACTTCTCTTATATTTTCTTCATGTATACGTTGGCCAAAAGTGGTGAGAGCGGCGATACCCTAAGAAGTCCAAATATTTCTTCATAGATTGTCCTGTTTAATATAAAATTGGTTGTCCTTATTCTCAAGTTGATTAGTCTTGTTAACGACTCCTTACCAATCCGTTTTGATTCCAGGATATCCTCCTCTCGGTCTAGCATTTCCAGAAGGGCCGTTAGCGCATTTTCTCCAAAGATGCTTGTATACATGGATTCCACATCAAAACTTACAAATAAGTCCGTTTCTCCCAGTCTCATGTTTTTGATTTTTGAGAAAATTCATATGAATGTTTCACCGTGTTAGATAGCGTCTTATTTAATTTCTTGAGTTTTAAACATATACACTTCGCCTATTTGTGTGTTGTTCCATACTTATTGTTGACTACCCGCCTTAGAGGCTCGCCTTCTTTGTGTATCTTCATTAATCCGTATGCTGTTGGTGGTCGTGCATCCTTTCTTATTATTGAATTTATTGTCTATGTGTCAATTTCCCCATTCCTATGCATATCTTTCAGCATGCCACTTGAGATTCCATTGATCTTCATAGTTGGATCCTTGTTTAATATACGACATGTGGTCCTGTCTCACAGAATATGTTCCATCTCGGTATATTGTTTTTATCCATTATTACTGTAGCTCTTCCTTTGTCCGCCTGAAGGACGAATTGTTCTTTCGTTTCCAGGGTTTTGTGTATCACCGCAAATCTGGTCCTGTGTGTAGGATCCTCATGTGTCAATATCTTTGGAATTAGTTCCATCTCTATTTCTCGTTTTGTCTCCTCAAGAAACTTGACGGAGATATTGCCAGACATTCACCAGAATGTCTCCTAGAAGGTTTCTGTGATGTTGAATTTCAGGACGACTTAGTAAAACGCACCTAGTCCGAAGTCGTCTGCCATAGTAGTTGTCATGATGCATAGCATCAGACAGTGGACTTGGTACATTCTCAAACGTTTCGCCGGCATCATATTCGGCATCATCAGTGAATGCTGCCATTCTCAGCACCAAGCTACGAACTCGTCAAGGAAACAAGTGAAGTAATTTGGTGCGGAGAATGGCAGCACTCACTGATGATGCCGACTACGATGCCGGCGAAACATTTGAGAATGTACCAAGTCCACTGTCTGATGCTGTGAATCATGACAACTACTATAGCAGACGACTTCAGACTAGGTGGGTTCAACTAAGTCTCCCTGACAACAAGACCAAGTTGTGACAACGAGGTCAACGCACTTTTATAAATCGAAAGGAGACTGCGACCATACCAGAGGCCCCAACATCTTGGTCTTCATATCTTAAATTAAACAGCATATGCGGTTTTTCACAATCTTGACAATAATATGTTGGTAGAAGACTCAAGATATGGTTTGGTAATTATATCTTGCAGACTACTTGATGGTATTTGATCACTTTCACTAAGATCCTCGTAAAAAGACTTTTTAAGTGTCAATGAAGCAGAACTATACAGTGCACAATGTTCATTCTTTGGCATCCACAAATTTACAGATGACCACTTCTCCAAACCTTGGAATGCATTTCATTCAGGCTGGTATGGGTCAAAATTGTTAGTGGCCAGGAAACGCGTAAGGCCAATTTTAGATCCATTACACCTATTGGCCATTTGATATACGATAAAAACACATTTTAATCTGAAGTAACTTGTCCCAATATTTTCTCCCGAAATCGGTTAGTTTTGTTAAATCAAATGCCAAATTTTCTCACAAAAGTCCCAATGCAAAGAGCTTATGTGAATTATTCGTTTATAAGTAGACTTTCGAGACTACCAGTAATCACCCATGGGGACAAATCAGAACTTGACATGCCTACCAGGCAAGCTCTTAAATACGGACATTATGGTTTCCTTGCGGCGATTGATTTCCAAATTCTATCCACCATATTTGTGCGCCACCATTTAACATTTCCCGTTTTACCCAACGCCTTTATAATCTCCGCACTCGCTTAAAACTTATTCTGGTCTTTACCAGCTACTTTATGACAGCATCTACATTTTATAGTTAGGTAGATACCCAGCTAAGCGCATCTTTGAAGTTATATCACTGTAAGTAATCTCTGATATCGGAGGCCAAGAAGGTCGGGTAGAAGGAAGTAAGGGAATCTTTTATTTTTTTCTCAGGTTAATATTATTTGAAGCTTCCATCGGTCTTTATTTGCATTCATAAATTTGTATTTTGTAATTATGATATTTTTCTCCATTTCAGATGAATTTTAGCCTATTTTGTTAAGAAAAAATACATAAAATTATTTGGGAACTCCGGAATCTCGCAAATATAATAAGGTCATATCCTTTTGTAGGGTTGCATGGGTAGAAGGGATTGGGTTGAAACTAGCAATAGGCACTATAAAGAAGCACACAACTGAACAAACTGATGGCCTCTTCGTTGAGTAAGTGTGACACTGAGGTGTATGCCAAGAAACA